ATACTCGATCCTTCTATGATGCCCACAAGAAGTGAGCAACTCCTTCTACAAGGAATTACTGCAAGCTACTCTTTTGGTTGGACTTCCTAGTGAATTTATTATGTATTTACATGCATTACAATAGCACTTAAAGAGACTCTAACTCAGAATGGGGTCCTGTTGTGCTAGGTATGTTAGCCCCTAAAAGGAGACAGGCTCTGCCCTGAAGAGTTTACACAACCAAAACAGGGAAGATACACAGAGTGGGAAAGGAAACAAAGGGACAGAGAATGAAAAGTCATAACTGGTCAACTGCAGAGCTAATAAGAGAACCCAAGTCACCCAGCTCCCAATACTGCCATCACCTTCTTTAAAACTAAGTATTTTGTAGCAAAGATTTCCTTCATGTCATATCTATACAGCCTCAGGCAATTGATAAATACTAATAATATTAGGCTGTATAAATTTCCTAAAGGAAAATATGAATATGAATTGTATTTTTTTCTTGTTCAATTACAGCAGATATACTGACCGTCACAGCTTCATGAAACAAGGAAACTGCTTTATTAACTAAAGCACTATTTAATAGCCAATGACAGGCAGGACTAAATGGCTGCTGTTGCGTCTATAATTCTTACCTAACCCTAATACTGACATAAATTATCATGACTAAAATGGTTGTAAAGAATCTCAGATGGGGGGAGATGTATGCTCACGTATGTATGCTGACAAATATAATCCTTTTGTATTCGCATTTAGCATGGGAAAAACGGACTTTCACTCAGTAGCAGAGAGTTGGGAGAACATACTACAGGCAGTCCCCGGGTTACGTACAAGATAGGGACTGTAGGTTTGTTTTTAAGTTGAATTTGTATGTAAGTCGGAACTGGTACATATTGTAGGGGAAACTCTAGCCAAACATTTTTTTTAGTTTTGGATAGCATAGGGAAAGGTTAACTCCCCTCTAATGTTTGTTTTGCTGTCTGTTCCCCTGTTCAGAAGATTTCACATCTATTTCTGTCCCTGTGACAAACTCAGGACTAAAAGAGTAACTCATCAAATACCAAACAGCTCTGCACCATGCTTTGAGCTAATAGCTTTATTTCCACACACCACCCAGGGTTCTAGGAGGAGGGTCCTTTTTTTGCTAACACAATGAGGCCAGCACTTTGTTTGTTTTGGTGGAGTCTTTGTTTGCCCAGGGAGCCCAGCATGTATAGGGGGAGGAGGGGCGGAGAGGCTGCTTTTGTCTGCTGTTCGGCAGCCTGTTGCTCAGGGGAGGGGGCAGCGGGCGTGGGGAGGCACTTTTCCTCTGCCCGGCAGCTCTGCAGGATCCCTGTCCCTGTGGCCAGCTGCTGCAGGCAGAGGCCAGTTGGAGCCGGCCGAAGAGGAGGAGGAGGTGGATTCTAGGACCCAGGTGAGCGAGCCCCGGGGACGCTGCTGC